TTTTTTAATTATGCCATGCCTTATGCTATTTCCAAACTAGATAATAATAATACATCGAAAAAAAATTTATTTTAATATTCCAAATTCGTTTATATTCACGTCACGCTGAACATTTCTGAGCTAACCCAAAATCTAAAAATCCATTCTGGTTTACTTGGGATTGGAGCCCGTATCATATCTAAATTTGTCAATAATTATCCGAGACTCTTCCTGTGATTTAACTCTGTGATAATTTTAAGATAAACTTCATAGAAAATTTCAAGAATATTTGTTTTAATTCCACTGTACGACGCACTCATAAGCCAGAATAACTAAAATCTTTAGTTAATTTATTTACAAATAATAAAAAGCTATTCTCAGCAAAATAGACGAAGAAGAAAGCAGCTTTTAAACTTGACATTTCGTTGTCTTTCTCTTGAATGGGGCAGAATGCAATGGAAGGTCTAGTCGCCCGTCATCATTTCCATGAACTCTGCAAGTAGAATCGATCGATGTAGTTATAAGCTAATCAGAGTTAAGTTCCATTATCCGAATTACCATCAAAATCAACAGTTCCCGAGCCGTCGGTATCAATTTCGGCAATGATGCCATCGAGATCGCTGGATGATAGCTTGTCGTCGAGGGCGGCTAGAATCTCTTTGAGTGTGGATGTGGTTATGTAACCGTTACCCTCGCGATCGTACAAGCGAAATGCCTCTTTCAGCTCCTTCTGTATGGCCTCGGCGTCCTCCTCCTCGAGGAAATGGGCCGCAATGTTGCAGAAGCCGTCGAAGTTCACCTTGCCCGTATCCTCCGGATCGTTCTCATCGACCAGATCCTGCAGTTCGCTCTCCTCGAACATCTGGCCCATGCTATTCAGGATGGTCTTCAGTCGCAGCGTTTCGATGAAGCCCGTCTTCTGGGTGTCAAACATCTGGAATGCCTTGCGCATAATGTCCATTTTCTCATCGTCCTCCTAATATCGCACACAAAGTTCGCAAAATATTTTCATTATATGATATAATAGCCGATGGCCGTCGGCGATTCGTACCATTTTAATATTATTCCGCTGCCGGTTTCTGCTGTCTGTTCCGTTTGGATGAGCGATGCGACTATGAATGTGGGGTATACCGAATGCGAGTGGTATTTGGCCAACTGACTTTGTACATCAACGAGTTGCTGCTGCGTTGGACCGCGAACGTGCACTAATCCGTTCGTCTGGCCAAGATCATTATTTATAAACAAAAAAAAAAAGAAAAGTTTTTCTGCTAAGTGACTACGTCATCAGCACGCAGCACGCTGAGCGCACAGCAGAGCGCACAATTCAACCCCACCCGCACTCACACACATACACTCACACACACACTCACATACACTCTTACACTCGCTCACACCTCAGCCATTTGGCCATCCTTCAAGTTGGAGGGGGAGGTTATTGTTGTTTGTTAGGCGCTTGGCCGCAACGCTTTATTGATGCTGACCGAAAAATATAGCCAAAAGCGTTCGCCACATGCATAGAGCTATTGGAATGTGCTGGCGGAGGCTGGCCAGACATACGACCAGATCAAAGTGATGCACGACCAGGTTGATCGCTCGATCTCTCCATCTCGCGATCGGTCAGACTGAGGTCGCCCACTGCCACCACGGATGGCGACGTCATCTACAACTCAACCACGATCAGCAATTGCCGGAAAAATCAAACAAAATGCAGCGAAAACGAAGGAAAAACAAGTAAATCTGCTGCAATTGCGAGCATATTCGATTGCCCAATACTCGCTCAAAGTGTATTAGGGGCTTTACTGAATCGCATTAGTAATAGATCGAGCTTTTATACAATTATTATGCCAGGCTGGTCAATTGACTTTTGGGTCAGCCTCGAGTTCTTCCTGAATCTCAAGGCATCGCAAGGCCTTCAAATTTTTGTCGCCATATCATATTATTCAGACGGCTAGCATCTACTCCTTATATAAATTTCATTTTCAGAGCAAACTCTATCAAAATCGACTACTATTTTTAAAATTTATTTTTTATTTTATTTCTTTTTTATTATTTTTTGCTTTTATTTATGCCTATCTAAGATCTGACCTCTGGTGCAGCAATGTTTCCCTGTGAAGGGTTCTTTCCCAGTAACCCAAGCGCAGCAGGAAGATGAACAGGATTTATCTAAAGGAATCATAGCTTTAACTAATCCAAAAATGACGTACCTTACTCCTCTTTTCAAAAAAAGTCTAATATGAATTATTTACTGAAGTATCTGTAATAATAAAAACAAACAGTTAATCCCTTACTGAAGAATTAACAATAATCTTCTTTGTAATAATTATAATCTGTCATCTCTACTACTCTACATATCTTTGACAATTTATAGAATATCTTATCTCATAGTTAGATCCATCGATTCCTAAACCTAATAACATAATCTCAATACAGTTATGGTTCAATGCAAATATACTCATCTTACATTTTGCAGCATTTTATGATCTCGTATAAAATTCTACAATGTCGAGCCGAAAAGGCGGCGCAGAGATCGCCCCTAAGATCGCCCCCAGTCGCCCCAGTCGCAGTCACTAAAAATCGGCTATAACGTCCTCACAATCAGTCACAAAATCAGCGCAGATTTCTCACGGTAATTGTATTTTTAGTACTTTATAGCAATTTTTGTCCAAATGATCATGAGCAGTGGGCCAGATGTCGATGACGATGCCGATGTTGATGGCGCTGCTCCGCGCTCTGCCGCCATAGTTACCTCTCCTTCGGGCGCGTAAATTGTTTTCAGAAGAGGGAAAAAAAGAACAGAAAACAACAACAACTACAACAACGCAAAAAAATGTTGATGTGGTTTTAGATTTTTGCGTTAAAATAAACAAACAGGCATTTCAGCTCTGGCAAATGGACATCAGAATTGTTGGACGTGCACCAAGCCCAGTGGACAGGTCGAGCGGGAAGCATGCGGTGTTGCAGGCGGCCTTAGTGTGTGTGAGTGTGTGAGTGGGTGGGTGTGTATATGCTCTATATAACCTTCTGACGAATTGGTTTGGTTTCTGTGCGGCATTTTTGGCAATAGCCAAAGGCAATTTGATTTTTTTATTATTTATGACAAAACGTGAAGCACTTTGGAAAGCACTTGTATGTAGTTGGGGCTACGTGTGTGTGTCCGTGTGTGTGTCTATGTATGTAACATGGCAATGAGTGCACTTATACACACACTCACACACACTCACGCACACAGTCTGTGTGTACCTGGCAGATACTTTGCTCGATTGTTTTTGAATATTTGTGTTGAAATATATCGTATAAATATAGCCACACTCTCGGTACATGTACATATGTCGAAAGTTTCTAATTTGGCCGCTGACAGTTGGTGGCTAAATTTGCGGTTAATTAACAAAAATAAATTGTATAATCCAGAAGCGTTTGCGTACCTTTTGAATATTTCACAACATTTCACACAGTCCAAGCGTCAAATCGTTTTACCAAGTAATACAAAAACTATAAATAATTTTTCAATTTCAGCTACAGCAACATTTTTGAGAGAGCCTCATTTAAATTTAATGAACAAAATTGTTCAAAAATATTTAATAAATAATACACTTAATATAGTTAAATAGGAAGTTAAAATACAAATTTAAAAATATTTTTTAAATCATGTTTATATAAAT